TGCATAAGAGTGTATATACATACAGCCAAACTAGTGCAGGACATTTGCTGGACGATTGGTTGGTTTCTATTTTATGGCCACATCTGAGCGTATTGGCTATGGAGAGAGGTACAACTCGGCAATTGGTACGTGTCAATAACTGCTATAAAAAGTCGACATCGCAACACGATGCACAGTTCAAAACAGCAGCCCAACTGCACCTCAATAACTCTCTAGTCTGCAGCTCAAATCAATGTTGCATTTCAATTGTGAAATTGCAAAAATAGCAATTGTCACACGGCCTTACCCATCAATCCCCCATTTAAAGTCGGTTCGAGTTTGGTGACTTTTTGCGAACATTAAAATGAATGTTTTCCCATTGTCAAACCATTTCTACGATTGTAATTAAATTAAACTATGACCAAAATTGACTGTTTGATTATAGAAAAACATAAAAAAAAAGACGCCGTGTGTGGCTTGATTTCATTTAAATATCATTTTTATAGATATTTGTCTGATACGTTTTGCAGCATAAACTTGGGTATTCAATGTTAAAAAATAGAAAATATCAAAACTTTTGTCATAAAAACTGCATTTTCTTGTCTCCAGCGCACATCTGCGATTATCAATTGAATTGTCAATGTCTGCATTTAGCTAAGCGTTGCAGATGAACTATCTATGCTATTATCGTTCATCTATAATGTGCACATACATTTCTGACTGTTCATGTGGACACCCTTTTTGGGCTGGGGTGCTCCTTTTTGTTGTTCGGTTCGTGTTGCTGCAGTTATTAACACGATTGTAGTGATTTGTCAAAATTCCCCGTATGACATGTGTGCAAACAAGGACGAAACAATGAGGATCGTTGTTGACAATGGGTAGGCAGGACATGGGTTGGTAAAGGCACTGGGGTGGGTGTGTACGGCCGGAAAGGGGTGAAACTGTGATCCACTTCTATTTTACTGACAAAAGTAAGCGAAGCGCGCTTAACAGAAAGTTGTTTATTTTTCATTTGACGAAAAACTTAAATTCGCTGGAGATATACATCTGTTTTTGCAACTGAAGCGGTTCAGTAATGACAACAAACACAAAAAAAAGCGAATGAAAAATGTAATAAAATCGAAAGCAAGAAGAAACACAATACCACAATGCCAGGCGAATAAGTTGGATATGGATATAATCAATCGCAGCTTGTGACCGGCTCAGCGCTCTTCGTAGTATTTATGCATATCACTAAAAGTTTAATTAAATGCACATCAAACTGCAGACACCGGAATCAATCACAATTACCAGGCAACGTCTGTTCAGGCCTGAATACCAAAAGCCCGGTTCGCTTTCACATATTGCAAGTTTTTTACAAAAAAAAAAATTGGCGGTATGGAAAAATCAAAAAGGATAAAAGAATCGGTCACAAGGCGACGAAGAGATGAGCGGCTGGATTTCAGTTAAATAAATTTTACAAATTTACATTAATTAAAATTCCAATTAAGTTAACTGCAAAAGCATTTTTCGCAACTCTTAAACGAGACTGAACGCGATAGTCAAAGCTTCTCAAATGATTTTTACCTTCGAACGAATATCAATGGTTAGGTAGAAAGTGTGTACTTACGGGAATTTATCACATTCTTCACATGCTAGTTGGCTTTTGTATTCAACATTTTCACGGCCTTCGACCATCTTGCATTTATAAAAGTTGGGCCAAGAAAATTGCTTCCACACGGTTGACCTCATTAAAGGCAAACAAAGTCGACCACAACAATTCAAATCAAATATAAAAGTCAAAAATTCATCGAAGCTCGACGAGGAAAAGTGGCCCAGTAGCTGGCTACACTTCCACACAACAATGTGCGAGTGTGTGTGTGTGTGTGCGGATGGTGTTCGTGACGGGTTTAGAGTTGGCTCCTTTTCTGCGGGAACGGTTAACCACAACAGGCACCAAGGAGCCACTCAGCACTGGCAGTGACTGGAAATTTGCTTTGCGGAAAAACTTAAACACCGGAAACAATTAATTCCACTTGAATTAACATATGCTCTGATTGCCTCGCGGGGGAGGTAGGCTGGGTAGCGGGTGGCCACAACCAAATCACGACCCCCTTAAAAGTGTTGACTAGCCAACGGTTGCGGGGCGCTCTTCTCGTTGCTGATTGATCGTCCCGTTGTCTCAGCCCCTTTGAAACCCTTAACTTTCGCCGAAAATTAGCCCAAAAGTTCATTTGCGTTTATGAGCCAAAAAAGAGTTGAGTTGCCACTTCGATTAGAGCAGGAAGATGGGTCGAAGCACCGCATCGTAAGCGAACAGCACCAGTTTCAGAAATGAGTTAAAAACTTAATTGCCGGCGGACAGGTAATTTCTGGCACACTTCAAATGCAAACGCCATTAAGTAATATGCAAACAAGGGGTGGCTGCCACCACGTCCTGGGTAAGAGAGCCGACAGCCGACGTCAATCAAGGACTTGACAGGACCAAGGCAGTTCCCATTCCTCGACACAACCGCGACACGTCAGCCATAAAGTCACGAAATACTCCGTCCTTGGCCATTGCGTGCAACCTGCGGTTAGTTGCAAAGTTAGTTTTCCAATTGGCGTGAGTCGTAAGGTAGCAGGACACAGACATAGATAGTCAGGGGTAGAGAGCAGATTAGGGACGCGTGCCCACGTTTAGGCGTAACAAATTACCATTAAACTGCACCAGGCGGGGGACTCACTGATTATTATTTAATGATGAACTCTGGCAGATTGTTCTGTTCAGTGCTCATAGTCGGTCTACTGAAATAATTATACCGCATACCTTTCTATCTACCAATATAACAGTTAGAGGTAAGTGGTTCATTCACCCACATTGTTGTCGGTAATGGAAAAAGTTTAAAATGAGTCGATGCCTTCAATAATTTCGCGCAATAATCTTTTGAAATTTTAGTTCCCGTTGTTATTTTTAATTGGTTGTAGACGGCTTATAAAAAGAACTAGGGGCAAAGTGGTGAAGCTTACAATATTTATTTGTAATGTAGCGCATTTTTCAAGCACCAAAAAGTATGCTCCAGAAAATCGAAGCATTCAACGGACCTGTGCTCATGGTTCGTCTAATATCTACAGTTTATTTTTATTGTTAAGACTCGAGCTTAAGTTCTGACTAAAGAGACTTGCATGTTTTTCTGCTTTCTAGGATTATTTTCTCTACTATCACTATTAACTATGGAATGCAATTATTTAACTGCCTGCCATCTAATTCACAAATGCCAAAAACACCCTGTGAATTTTCCGCGCCGTCAGCAATGGCTAAAGCAATTTTTTAATTTCTTAATTTTTGCGAGCTCATGAGAATTAGCCGTTGCTCTGTCTGTTCACGTTCCACGTAGCCACTTTGGCGCTGTCCACCACCGTCGCCGGTAATATTTCTTTATCTTCAGCTCCATCTTCACCTCCAGCTTCATCAGAGATGCTGACAATGAGATGCGAGGCGACATCGAGATGCGCCCTTTGTTTTCCTGCTGCTGCTGCTCCTGCTGCTGGCAGTAGTGGGCAAAGTTTATTCATTTAGAAAATTTGCTCATTTTCGTTGCGGGGCGGGTACCAAATTATTGTTGCCTTGCTGAAGGGGGATTGGGGAGGGGTGGTTCTGTGCTCTGGAGAAATGTGGTACGTGCTCGCAGTTTTCATATAAATTGCGGCCAATAACATTTTTCAGTTGGAAGGGCAAGAAAAACGCGCACAAAGCAAAAGAAGAGAACAGAAAAAATGGACAAAAGCTGCTGATGATGGCTTCTTCGGGCAGACTTTGGGACCTGGGCACGGGCCAGCAGAATCTGGCTCATTAAGCTAGCAACGGTTGCCAGAGGGATTGGTCAGCATGGGTGTTACTCTTGGTATTGGGCCTGTGGTCGCCCAACCGAGTCCGGGTTGGGAGGAAGCTGCGGAAAATCTGGCCGCGACGACACTTTGCCAGAAATCGTCTTTCTCTTTTTGCTTTTGTTCTGTGCCTGTGCAGCCATTAGCCAAAAACTGTGGGAAGCAGACAGAATAGGGGAGTGAATAGGCAGATGGACGAGCAAATTATTCCCCAAATACCCCGAGGTAATTATAAATGTCCTTCTACGCTCAGCTAAGCCCCATCGGCCGGACGCCGTCTTTTGTCTATCATAATGAGTGGCAGGCGGACATTTGGACATAATTGTTCAATTATTTTGTTACTTATTGCCTAGGACTGTGCCTAGTTCCTCCTTCTCGACATTTTCATCTCAATGCCCAAATGCAGTTTTTTTTTTTTGTTGATGCTGTTGTTTTATTGTGCTCTAGTTCCGACATTTTTCTGTTAAATATTCGTCTTCGTGTCGTCTGATATCTTGAAAATCCATATATTAAGATGTATACACATACATTTATTTGTCTTTGCTGCTTCGACTATGGGCACCACACAACCTCAGCTTTTGCCATTTCGCCATTTTATGGCACAAGCGAATGTCAAATTCAATTACAATGCCAAACCTGCTGTGGCATAAGGGGGCGTTGGGTGTGTCGGCGCAGTGGAGTACAGAGCCTGAGGCCTCAGGTGTGTTGTGCCATTCAATTATAAATTTTCAATAAAAATTTTTCCCTCGCGTTTGTCGACTTTATTGTTTTTGACAGTCGTTCTCGCCGTGCTGGCAAAAAAAAAGCAGACGATTCCTTTTACCCCTATTCGTTTATTGAAAATAATAGAATGAGGGCGTGGCATGCACTGCTGCGTATTACGAAGTGAGAGTGTTTAGTGGGAGTGCTTTTTAAAATTACATCATTTAGCCTCAGGCGAAATTTGCTGCTGTGAATGACATTTTAGTCTCAGAAAAGTCAATTGAATAACTGCGGGCGTAATTTGAAAAACAAGATAATGTTGATGTATTTCTATAAAATTAGTTTTTCTCATCTCTCTGCATGTGGCTATAAATAGCACAACAAATAAAATAACATCTTAGAGTGATTTAATATCAGACTAAATATGCTACTGGCATTCATATATTTTGAGAGGTATTAAAAAGATATACTTATTTTAGTTTTAATGTAAACGTTGTTATATTCCAAGAATAGTATGAGTTCTTTCATATTAATAAATTTAGGTATATAGTTTTCTTTAAAACTCGAAAGCATTCAAATTCCAGAATTTGAAAACTATCGAGCCGAATTCATACTAAAAACGCTTGCATATTCGCATGTGTGAACTGCATTGAATCGCTCAATGACATATCTGTAAATCAGTACGACAGGCCAGAAACCACATTCCAATGGACATTAACCAACTGCAAAAGAACCGAAAGCCGAAGTCAACGAGCTACAAAGGAGCTCGGGAAGAACAGCTTCAATTCAACTGACAGATGGACGGAGCAACAAAACAAAAATATCGCAATGATCATAAATATTACTCAGTTTTGATGTCTGCTAGCCGTTCTACAAGCTTGAAGAGCACCAGCAACGTGGACATAGCTTGTAAGTGAAAATATGCAAGGCGATCTGGCGGTTTGGCGGTTTGGCGGGTTCTTCATCAGAGTACCCTGGAGATTGTCGGCGAACTGGTCTTAGCGCTTCCTAAAAGCGACAAAAATTGCCAAAAATGGATTTCCATTTTTCACACAGATGCATATGCGCAATGCGGTTTCAGATGTAGCCAGGGCTCACCTCTGTCTCTGTAGCCGACTCTGCTTTTCTCAATCTCTTCAAATGACGGCAAAAAGGTGTCGAAGAAATTGTTCAACAACAAAGCCAGTCGGAGCGCAAAAAGAGCTGCCTGCTGCATAAATGAAGCGGCATTGGCCTCAGCTTTAGCTCCGTTCACGTCCTCGTCGACGTGCTGGGTTTCTGGCACTGCCACAGACACGCTGTCTGGCAATGCGGCTGGGACTGTCGCCCTGGCAAAGACAAAGGCCGCATCGTCTGGGGAGCCCTGTGTGGAGCGGTGCCTGGGGGCTACTGGTATCTGTCGAGAAGACAGTCTCAGCAGAGATCGGAAGGCGTCGCATTGTCTTCGAGCACATTATTAGCTTACGTGTTTGTTAAAACAGCAGCCTCGATTTGAATTTCAGCTCCAACTGCTGCGAAGTGAAATATTAAAATAGTTCGCCACCCGATACTGCTCCGATGCCATCTGAGCTCCAAGCGTGTTATGCATCTATTCGTGTGTCTACATATGTATGACATTGACACATTCACACACGCATACTCATACAGAGGAGACAGAATCTTTCCAAACCGGGAAATGCTCGAATACTGTCTAATCTTACCATTCTATGCAAAATATGATAGGAATCTCTGGGATTGGGACGACGACTGAAAATGGCATTACGACCGATGCCCGTTTCTTCTTATTGCAATTCAGCGTGAAGAATCACAATCATATGCAGTTTGTTTGCCTGCGACTTACAGATTTAATTTTTTTTACCATAAATTTTTAAGGCACAGTGGTGGGCGATTGCATTTTTGATATTGGAGCAAAGGTTACTAAAGAAACCCAATTTCCTATGATAAGGATTCACTTTTAACAATTAGATTAAAATAATAAAAATAATAATTATTATAAAAGTATAATAATAACAAAATATAATAATAATAATAACAATAATAATAACAATAATAATAATAATAATAATAATAAAAATAATAATAATAATAATAATAACAATAATATTAATAATAATAATAGTAATAACTAGAGGCAATATTTAAATCTCGTCGCATGGTTACACGGTTCTTAGCAAATGCATCTAGTCGAGAGCTACAAAATATGATTGTTGCTTGACTTGGGAATGAGAAGAGGGAATCATCTCCTTGTTGTGACTATGGGACACGAAACGGAATTTCGAACGATTTGGTTTTGTCTGGTTAAAACGCATCTTTTGTACCGTATTCGAATGCGGCTTTTGCTGATCTTGTTACCGATCTCGATTTTTGATGCCGATTTTGACTGCTACGCGACGCGTTGACAATTCCCTTGAACTGCTGCTTTGGACACCGAGACAGAGGCATACATAAATCCCATAAACGCGACATGGACGCAGGGACAACGACAAAAACGAAAACATGGGGAACAGGAACAGAATGTGTCGGACTTGGGGACCAGGTCGGACACAGAGCCATTGTCACTGCATGCCACTGAGCGACGATACTTTATTCATTTATTCCAATAATAATAATGCAATGCAAACATTGATTGTCATCGATTGTCAGTGACGGTGGCTGCTGGAACGGCTGCGCACGCGCAACAATCCAGCCGGCGACTGGAAGCTGTGGATAGCTATGGGATGGGGAAGCGTGGGGTGATGCAGACTTATGCCCTTTTAGGGTATTTTTGATAGGTGACAGATTTTGTGCACTCGCCGGCGATTTGTGGACAAAATTTATGAGTCGTCGCTGCTGAGATTTCCTGCCCGTATTTACATTTCATTTCGGTTTATTATTAATGTCCCTTCGATATGACGTCGCTTGTTTGAACTTCTCTCGCCTTTTTTGCATAAAAAAAGAAGATACAAAAATTGTGCCAATTTTTATATCGCATCCTTTCCATGACATCACCCGATCCAATAAGCAACGAGTACATATTTCAGTACCGGGCTCGGTGGGGTCGGGACTGGGGCTGGAGCCGCCTGTCATGTAATTGCTTTTTGCGTTGCCAACCACCACCGCCGCCCATCAGGCACTGTTGAATTTAAATGAATTCAATATTGCATTTTCACGCTAAAATGCTTCCAAAAACAGATTTTTCATTTACACTTTCTGAATGGTAAAATCCGGATTACGTATCCCACGGGCAAAGCATTGATTCTGCTTTTGCGCAATACAAAAAGGCTACGTGGAAAATGCCATTTCCCCACAGCCGACTCGCCGTAGCCCGCGCCGGTCATTTGGTCAAAGGATCCGCCGCACCGCCCAACTATAGTCAATGGGCTCAGACTACGGGCATGACTTAAAACACGGCTGTCCCTGGGCCGGCCTCTGTCTCTATCACTATCGCTGACTCTGTCTGTTGCAAATACATTTCTGAAAAAGCTTCTCGTATTTTGTATGCCCTTTGTGAGGCAAAGGATTCGCATTTGCACTTTTTCATTGGTACAAAATTAATCAATGTGTCGGAAATTTAAGGTGAATAAATTTGATGTAACTTAATGCAGTCCCAAGTTGGTTGCGTAAACGAATCACATTTTCGTAAGATCTAAAGAATATTTAAACTCAAACTTATATCGCAATGAGTATAAAATGTTTACCTTACCATTATTCAAAATTATCATTTAAAAATTAATATTGCTTACAAATTGTCGCTACTAGTTAGATATTTAACCCTCTCACATTCCCAGCGACACGAAACGTTAACTCTAAGCTTGGTCTTACTTTTCAGAACTCGTGTGTTGATATGGTGACAGCTTGTTAAATTTATTTATTGCCATCGAAACTATGGGCTTTGATACCTTCAATGACGTATGATCTACATTTTGATGTGTTGCCTTTTTTTCGGTTTTGTTGTCGATTTAATTTCTGCGCCGGGCATTTTGTCAGATACTCGGATACGGCATGACTTTTTAATGTACTCGACTCTGTTTTTGATTCGCTTTTGTCATTTTAATGTGCATTGAATTTTAATGTAGCCCTCAGCCAGCCAGCAATAGCAACAGCCACGAAATCAAAACACTTTCAAAAATCACTATCCCGATATAAATGTTCGAGTATTATAGCACACCAAATTTGTTGTCAAAAATTTTAAAGCGGCTTTGCCTCCGCCTATAAAATTTATGCCAATTCTGTGATACAAAACCATGGTCCTCGTTTTATTGTTTTTTTTTTTTTTTTTTGCTTTTGGTTTTGATGCGGAAAAAATGATCTGATTTATATTTGACACAATGAGTTGACTGACTGCGTGTTAAAATATACATACACTTATATCTTTTACATACATATCAGTATCTTTTACCTACACATGGCTTAGCTCAGAGCACTTTGACAGTCGCCTGCTTCGATACATAAAACATAAGCTGGGCCAAGGTGGGATTGACGAGGGGGCTTGAACCTGAAGCCGTAAGACGCGACAGACATATGGCGGCCATTATGATGCGCAATAATGCGAAATGTGAAATGAAACGCTAACAAAACGCTTCGGGTACGGTTGTAGGGGCCCAATTATATCGCAATGAGTGCTCGTAAAGTATTGGGGTGTTGACAAATTATGGCAACGCCTTTGAACGGATCACGTCTTGCACGTTAATTAGTTGCTGCCTGTTATAATGGTGTGCTTCGGGTATTCGGTATCGTTTATTCGTGTATTCAAACTGTGCAGTATTTGCCCGTAGAAAAGATCTGTTCCGGAATTCTGCTCAATAATAAAGGACTGGTGAAAATGTTTAATATTGTGCGACTTAACTTGCGTATCTTATTTATTACCTAAAAGGTCTCATTACAATTCAAGTGATTACTCAATTCGGACAACTATATCGAGCGAGTTCCTTGGGAAGCCGAGGTCCCGTTCCATACTTAGCACGACTTAGCTATTATTGATCGATTGCACAATAATATATATCCACTAATTTTTCCTATTTTTTAAGTAAATGCTTCTAAATGAACTTATCATTGATTTATGAAATGCTTGAGTACAAGTCTCTTCAATAATTTAGCTCAAGAATTGCATTTACATTCATATTGCTCATTCTTGAGCTGCTTGTAAAACTTTACTGCAACAACCAAGGAATTTCGGACGGCCCATAGAGCAACCAACCCGAGAGAAACTTGTAAGTGCAATGAAGCAATGGAGCGATGCAGATATGGAAATATTTGCGGGAATAACTCAAGTAGATTAGCTGAATGATGGTAGTTGAGAGCAAAGCGGCCGACAAATAAAATGGCACACAAATGAAGTAGAGAAAATATAATTGATAAACACGAATGAGTTCTAATTCTGGCGCTTTATCAGTCGTCGCATTTCCATTAATTAGGCGCTTGATTTATGAATGCGCTGATTTCGATAGTCTGGCTAAAATATGCAGTTGGACCGAACTCAACTGGCCAGCTTGCGCCATGCAGTTGCCATTAGGTTTAATGCCACCAGCGTGAAACACCTAGGAGTCATTTGTCGCCTGGAGTTGGTGGCGTAGGCTGGTCAAGTACTGGCTGGATTGAACCTGGCAACACAAAAAAGGTTACTTGTAGATCGAAGCACCTGTTTGTTCCTAGCAGTATTGAGCCATAAATCAGACGGTTGGCATACTGCGAGCTTAAGCGGCTTAAATGCCGGTAGCAATAGCTGCGCCAAGCACCTTCACCACGTGTTTCTGCCGAGCGAAACAAGCGCGCGAATTGTAAAAGCCGGTGATAAACATCTACTGGCCATGTGCTTGGGCCTGGCTGTGATCCTTGGCTTAACTTACGCCCGCAGCTTCAAGCGGAAGTTGTAGTTGCATTTACGGCTGCGCCTGCGTCCATGCATTAAAAGGACATCGCGAGGGCAGCTCGAGCTGATTGCGCCGCACCGGAGGCTCATATTAATTAAGTGCATGTTTGCGCATTTCTCATGCTTGCTTTCGACCTTATCCCTTTGTATTAATTGGCGCGTCCGCAGGGGATCGCCTCGCCAGGACAATGACAACTCGATAAGCACACATCAACGCACATTGCGCGTTTCTACTGATCGCCAGTGCGATCCCTCGTCATCATGCACCTGTTCCACATTTCCTCGTGGGTGAGTTCGACGACACCGTAGCCGCACCGCACCATACTGCCTCGTATATCATTTTCAGGGTTATGCCTCCTGGTTTTGGTCTGCTGTTTTAGCCGTGTTATTTCGGCATATTTTAAATGCATACACATATCTCTAAGGTATTGTTATAGTGTCAACTGCTATCAGAGTTATATGGTTTGTTTGTCATTTAACACCTTTTAAGTTGCGCACATTAATTAGAAGCGCAACCCTCCCAACAATCCCGAGCAACTAGACTCCCTTAAGAAATGTAACTCCAGCTGTGAAGGTAACGCTCACGCAAATGCCCATGCCCATGTCCCCAATAAGATAATAGCAAATGCTAATGCCATTATATATGTAGATATAGGTATATAGTGTATATGCATTTTTGGGACACAAAGAAAGAAGGGTAAAAGTCATCAAGCTGGTATTTTTTGAAAATATTTGTGATTGCCTTTTGTCATTGCCCTCGACTGTACTTTTTAAATGACATCCTAAAATTCGTTCTACTATATTTTATACAAATTAGTTATAAATGTGCCATAATAACTAAATATGTTCTACATTTTTGTTTTGCAAAAATGCATATACAAATTCGAATTG